TTGGGGTTTTAGAACGACACCCTCTTTATCACATTCGTGTAAAAATACCATTTCTTAAAACAAAAGGAAATGTGCAGGAAAAATAAAGTGAAGGGAAGAGAAAGATACCTGGAAGCGGTTGTCGTTTGGAAGATTTGAAGAGAGGAATTAGGGGGAACTTGCAAAGGAAAGTAGGAGAGTCTTTAGGGAATAGAAGAGGGAAATTTTTTATAAAAAAGAGAAGTTATGGGAAGTAATGACTAAAGAAGAGAAAACGTGTGTAGGTTTCAAAAATTGCCTTAGTAATGATTACACCTAAAAAATTAGGTGACTGTTGGGAAACTAGGGCGTGAGTGTCACGTACGCCAGGAATGAACTCGACAACCGTTCAGTTATAGGAGCCCGGTCCAGAGTAAAAGATCAATATTTACATTGATCGAACATAGGATTTCAAATAAAGTCATATGCTCGTGGGAATTATGTTCATACATAGATCCATTGTCCAGGCTATGAGAGATAAAAAGGCAAGATATGGATAAAAGGCCAAGGATGACACATAAAAGCTTAGTCGAGTAGTACCCTAGCTTGAGATCTTCATGCCTGATCTGGGTTGTATAGCTGGAGGCATATGTGGTCGGCCATAGAGAAAGATGAAGAGGCGCCATTCGGGCTTGTACCCGAAAATTATCCTTGGATCCAGATGTTACATAGAGTCCGGCCTTGATGAGGCTGTTACAGAGTGACTGACCCATTAAAAGCGTAACTGCTCATCAATACATGATGACACACGTTATGATAATAGCCATCATTGGCAACGACGGACGTTTCTTTCCTTAATGGCAACTCAGTTACGTATGATGAGGAGTCACAAAAATTATATGCAGTGATCAACGAGGTCTATGCACCTCTATATATAGGGCTCCCGGCTTAGGGGTAAGCAAGATACATCGTTTGGAACTCACACATACTTGTGTGAATCTCTGAATCCCTTAATATCATAAACAATTCACTTCTATTTGCTTGAGGCTCTCTCCGATATACTTCAACTAGCGGGGAAGTCACCCATTTAGTGTTTAGCAAGAACACACAACATGATCAGCTAACCCATTTCTATAAGAATCTTATCTTGGAAATGATTAAAAAGCAAAATGATGAATTTTGATTATTCCCTCAACTAGAGCATTTTATTTTCATTGGACAGGTTAGGGGTTCGATCATCGAGTTAGATTCCGCTAGAGTTGCAAATCTTTAATTTGGTAGCGGATGTGAGATGGTCGAAGCAATGGATTGGAGTTAGTGAATTTGTATTGAAGTGTTTATCTGAATTTCGTTGAAGTGATGAAGTTAATCCATTTGTTTTTTTTTTGCCAATCGCTTAGTTTTGGAGCATTTTGGTTGTAATTAGTAGTGGTCATACATGTGCTTTTTTAGGGTTTTGATGTTGCCTGTGTTATTGGGTGGGTCTGCATTGTTTTTTCAAAATGTTGTCAGGAGCATGGTTTCTTCAATTCATGTGCCTAGTTTTTGTGATTTTTGTCCCAGCTAGTGCCGAACTTATATTGGCTTGAGGCAATGCCTTATGCCTTTTTTTAATTAACTTCAATCCTTATGCTTTTAAAAAAAAAATACAATGCTCCTACTCTCACTAACTAAACCCAATATTTAACTTGTGTGATTATCAAAATCCATAAATTTTATGGTTAAATATGTTTTCGGTCCCTTTAAATATTGTCAATTTCGTTTTTAATCTTTTAAAATATTTTCTTTAAAGAATGGTCCATCTAAAATTTTCCTTTCACATTTTTATCCCTCCTACTAACATCTGTTAATAGAGCTGATGTGACCTTAATACGTGACAGTACCAACTGTTAAAGATGATAACGTGGCATGTCACGTGGCTAAGGTCAAACACATAATTTAGCCCATAAATTTTATATTTAATTGATAATAAAGTCATAGTTAATATGTAGCAAATGATTACATAGTTATAAATCAAATTGATGAAATCCGTCACACAACTTTTTATAGCACCCTTCTATCAAAAGATCAAATACTTCACACAACTTGTTTTATTTTTAGTATCCTTCTATATTATATTGGCATAAATAATTTTCTATTTAAATAAATATTGAAATAAGATTTAGAACCATATCATCACAGGAGGAAGAAACACCAACAAAGGGATTCCATGTTGGTGTCACTAATGGTCCAATACAAACTAACCGTACAATTGTCTCAAAAAAAAAATTAGTAATATATACAACAGTTAATAAACGAGTATCCTTGTCGGCCCAAATAATATGGGAAACATATGGGAAACCTAGGCATCCCTAAATATCTAAAGCTCAACCCAAAGCCAGGGCAAGAAGCATTTCAACAGAAAAAAGCATGTGCAAAAGATTGGTATCACTAGACAACAAAATCAATTAACCTATTTCTGAAATAAAAGTCAATGACCTCCCCCAAACAATCTAATGATTACAAAAAATGATTGAAGTATATAGATGTAATAATGTACTTCATAGGAGACTAAAGACACAGAAGAAAGTTAGCAGGAATAGAGAGATTCAAAACAATTTTGATAAAATTAAGAGCAAGTCAAAATACTATATTAATAGTTAAATACAACATATACTTGTTACCCTAAACCAGATTTAGATAAATCTAACAAAGGATATGTGAGTACATAGTCATCTGAATCTATTACAAATATAAAATGTAAACTCAATAGTGATAGACAACACATTAGCCATGAAGTAATCGCTTCTTTGATACCATCTAAACCTTCAGCTAAGCTTAATGCACACAGAAAAACAAGTCCAAAATAATATAAATGATCTGACCCGAAATAATTAGTAAAAACTACTCCCTCGTACCCATATTATTTGTCACAATTGATAATTTCATATAAATTAATAAACAATAATAAATGAAATAGAAAATAGTGATTTTACTAAATTATTCTGATTAATAATGAGTGTATTCAAATTAGAATTAATGTTAATGAGAAAACAATAAATTATAAATATTTATTATAGGATAGATTAAATATAAAATTGCATTGATAATCTAAAGTGACAAGTATTTTCGGACAAATTTTTTTTAATGTGACAATTATTTTGAAACGGAGAGAGTAACAATTACAATGTAAAAGCATTATAGGTCAAGATATGTCAAAATCATATTCTACTTTTCAATAATAAGAAATATTTGAGATTTTATAACAATGTAATGCATGAACAATAACAAATATCACAAAAAAAGATAGACCTACAAATATAATTCTAGTAAGATTTTTTTATTAGCATCCAGCAAACTAAACAGAAATATATCTAATTTATCTATTTCAACCATCGAACATGTTGATTATACAAATAAAATAACTACACGGTACACATGAGTATTAAACTTCATAGCAAAATTAGATTTGGCACGTGGCAAGCAAAACAAGCTGTAACCAGGCCAAATCTAACAATAGCAAAGGGTAAAAATCATACCTCGTCACTAAGGATTGAATCAATCAATAGTTTTGCAAAATCTATTTTTTCAGAAGTTAATTCAATTTTTAATGTTCTTTATCAAAGTAGATGATATGGTTTTAAATTTTGTTTCAGTAATAGATTTTTCAAAGTTTCATCTTCCATATTAAAAGGTTGGTGAAAAAATTATTTTCCAAACACACTTTAGTAATCACTGTTTCTACACGTTAAGTCTCCATTTTCCTATAGAGTCATAATTGCGTAATATAGATGTCTATATTAAGCCACTTCCACAATAATAAGATGAAACAAATTGGAAACAAGTACATAAATTTGTAGTTTACTGCAGGCTTAGTGACAAATTCTTGGAGAGGATGGTAGATATCAAGGACAACCAATGTAAGGTTACTAAGTGATATTTGCATGTTTAGCCTTTTCACACATTTATTGTAATGAGAGCCAAAGAGAGTTATCACAGTTGGCAAACATCCTAATGGAGGTAATGTTGTTACACTGATTCTCCTTTCTTCAAGTGCATATAAATTTTGAAATGTATAACACCCATGTTTGCAATTTAGAAATGTCAAATCAAAATCAAATTCCTCATCAATTATATACATATAATTTGGTTGTAGGACCATAGATTCCAGAAGCACCAGATGCAAAGTTTACACCATTCAAGAGGTTTTGTCCTCAACAGTCAAACAAACCTTACATTCAAGCAGCAACTACCGATTAGCTACAGAGTTTTATGAACTTAAGTATATATTTGACCTTAACCACGTGGCATGTCACATCATCACCAAATAAATAGGAGTTGGCTCAATTAGTATTTTCCATATAAATATAAATGTGGGGGGCAGTAGCTAGGTATGTTATTATTTTCTATTTTTGCTATTAGAGTTTGGGCGCCGAGAGAATCATCTCTTCTATGAGAAGCATTTGCTATGGGATTATAGGGATCAATCTTTGTAATAATTTTGAATTCAATTAATATTATATTTTCCATTTATCTTAATTTTCAATCCCTATCATTTGGTCCGACCTACCGGATGATCGAGGAGGTACCAGTGTTTGTGTCATTCAACATGAGTGCGGAAAAAGTGTTGCAAGAAAGAACGGTTTAGAGAATTGACGCAATTGAGTTAAGAATGGGGAGATTGGAAGAATCTGTAAAATCCTTTAAGTTGGAGTTTCGTCGATTGTTGCAAAAAGAGATGGTAAAACATTCGAGGCAGATTTCCACAGAGAATCTTAGCTCTGACTGAAATGTGTTTCCAATAACAGATCTTATAAAAGAACACCACGAACAGAGTTTCAAATAGATGTGAAATCGGCAAATGTAGAAGCAATAGAGAAGAAGGAAACGAAGGTGGCCTGCAAAGATGTGATCCTTGTGTCAGAGAAGAAAATGATGTCACAAATTGTTTGGGTTTTAGAGTTAGCGACATCACCTCAATCTCAGAAGCCTTTGACTGCATCCTCACTGGCCATATCTGTTTAAATGAGGGTCCTTCCTAATTCCAAAGATTTGTTGAAATTATGGATGGAGTCTCTACATCTGATCCAAGCCAAGAAGAAGCACGGAAATCAGATTCTAGTTGCCCTCACACTATCACCGGGAACACCGGTTCATTCGTGAAGCACCTTCGAAAGTAAAAATCACCGGCCAATCCACCGGATCTGAGCGTATCTGCGGGCAGAGAGAGACAGTGGAGAAAAGAGGAGAAGTGATGGTGAGAAAACACTTAGACATCATTAGAATCCTTTCTGATGGTATTGATAGTGTTAGAGGATTACGAAGGAGACCTCAAAAACGATCGTAGATGTTGATGCAGATGAATGCACCAAAGATGAGGTGTCGCATGCACATGAGGTTGTCGCCGATAGATCCGTCGTATGGCGGTTTCAATATCATTTTAGCGTGCATCGTTGCTGAAGGTGGGAAGGATCTAGAAAAGTTGTGGACAAAAGTGGTAATTTAAAAACTGAAGAGAATTCTAGAAAAATCAGAGCAAAATGGATAATTGAGGAGGTTAGGATCTCTCTAAATCTAATAAGTCAAGTCCAAATTAATATTTGTTTCCTTTTTAAGGCATTTATAGAGTGGGATGAAATAGAGATCTTGGGCCTTGTTTTTCAATTCTTTTTCTTAATCTGGTTATTTTTCTATCCTATTATCTCCTTGGTAAATTGGAAAACAAGGATTTCACTTTTACCTCTTGTTGTGCTATGTGGCAAGAATTTTGAATGGCTTAGCAAAGAGATATTTTTATCTGAAGATATAATAAATTGCTTAGTCGTATTCCTGGAAATTGTAAAAGACATAGTTTATATATTGAATGCTTCTAGTGAACTTTGTATTTTTTTTGTTGGAGTTACGACTAATCATGCCCATATTTCTAGGGGTTTTAAAGAGAAAAGTTGCAGGCTGTCATAGAGAGATAGTAAGAATGAAGGTGTGCAACATGTTAGATTGTTTGAAGTCGGCTTATCAAGTTCTCAACAATGGGATCCCAGAAGATACAAAAGCTACAGTTGTGTCGGTGTTGTGTTTAAAAAAAAAAAGAATTTCAAGTATGGTTTTATGGTTGGCTGAAATGTAGATTTGGTCTTGTTTTAGACCCACCATTTACTTTGCAAGGGAAGTGTTTGGCATGTCATTGTTATATGTCGAAGAACATTTTCTCGTTTCAACCTTGAGGACAAGGTTGTATTTCTCGTTGTTGATAATGTTAGGATATTGGTTTGGACTTTAGTCCAAACCAAAGAAATATGAGTTGGCTCGGTTAGTATTTTCCATATAAATAGGAATGAATGGGGCAGTAGTTAGGTATGTTATTATTTTCTGTTTTTCTTATTAGAGTTTCGGCAGAGAGAGAGAAGCATCTCTTCTCTGAGGAGCATTTGCTCGCCCAAACTAATATCCTAATACACTGTCACGTATTAGTACTACGTCAGCTATGTTAATGGACGTTAGCGGAAGGGACCAAAAGTGTGAACTAGGAGAATCATTCTTTAAAGAGAATATTTTAAAAGACTAAAAACGAAATTGACAATATTTAGAAGAATCAAAATCATATTTAACCATAAATTTTAATCTAACAAATAACTTGATACTTGCATATTGGAACATGCACAAATACAAAAGTGTAAGGTTACACACACTCATACAAGTAAATTACATATAAGTCATAATTTTATTATATAATTCAATCAACTCTCATGTTTATTCTTTACACAAACACGTCAATGGGAGAGATCTCATATCAATGACATAGGGTTTTGCACAGTGCTTATACACATAACAATCAAACATGCTTCATGCAGCAGCAACTGCTTTGCACAGTGCTTATGCACATAACAATCAAACATGCTTCATGCAGCAGCAACTGCTTCTACATTCATGTGGTGTCCTTCCTCGTTCAAATGCTCATTGAAGTCACACTTACTCTCCAAAACATCAGCACCACAGCCGCCACATCCTCCACCACACCCTCCGCCACATCCACTACTCTTCTTCGTGCTGTCAATTTCACACCCTCCACTCCCTACCATATTTCCACACCCTCCTCCACAACCTCCACCACAACCTCCGCCACAACCTCCACCACAGCCACCACTCTCCAACATATTTCCACACCCTCCTCCACATCCTCCACATCCTCCACCACAGCCACCACTCTTGATCATACTTCCACACCCTCCTCCACATCCTCCACCACACCCTCCACCACAACCACTGCCACAGCCACCACTCTTGATCATATTTCCACATCCTCCTCCACAGCCACTACCGCAACCACCACCGCAACCACCACCGCAGCCACCACTCTGGATCATATTTCCACATCCTCTTCCACAGCCACTACCGGAACCACCACCGCAGCCACCACTCTTAATCATATTTCCACACTCTCCTCCACAGCCGCTGCCGCAACCACCACCGCAGCCACCACTATTCACTGCATTCCCACTGCCACAGCCACTACCACACCCTCCACTTGAGAGTACTACCTTTCTTGTCTTCCCTGCATCTCCCCTGCACACTTCACTGCTTAACTTCACTCCATCCAAGTCATTTCTTTTAATTTCCTCATCTGTGTCATTCACATTCAAATCTTTACTTTTGGAAATGATGCCTTCATATCCATCCTCTTTCATAGTATCAGAAGCGATGAAAGTCAATATGATTCCGGGCAACACCATCCACTTTTCCTTTGCCTATTAAATTTTAGAAAGAAGAAAAACAGAAATACCGGAAAAAATATTAAGATAAATTCATTCCTTAAAAAGAAAATGTTTAATATTGCAGTTGTAAATTGTAACTAGAAAGAAAGTAAGGTACCAAAACAAGTTTAGATTTCAAGTCCAGCAATGCTACAGCTTTTCCATATGGATCTTCTATGGAGAATTCAACTGCCGTTAAGAAGTCCATTTCATTTCGTTGTTTCAAATGATTTCTCAGTTCATATTCTCCCTTTATTCCGGAAAAAAATTCCATCTGTGTAAAAAATCATATGAATTTAATTAATGTTTGAAAATTGATACCAGCTCATTTCTTCTCATATTCTGTTTTTCTTTTAGTTTGTATCTCATGTTTAACTTTAACAATTTTATGTCCAAGGCAGATAATGAGTTCCATGCTTGGATCATATAGACACACTACATGAATTTCTCATTCGTAGTACCTTTTGCAAACAGAATAACAATTTTGAACTTATGCCTACGAAGCAATGGAAATACATGCAAAGCAAGACAATAAGAAAACTAATGTGTATTAGTGTATATCAAATCATTACCAATCTCACTGATCAAAAATATGCACTACGTAGCTTTCATCTAGAAAAATTGGATAACCTCTCCAAAATGAAATTAAAGAAAAAATGGTTGTATATGACAATTTGTTGTGTCTGGTTAAAAATTAAGACCAGATACATCAAATTTTCAAGTACCAGTTTTGCGTATATTTTATTAGGAGTACACTGTTGCAGACAAAAATAAACCGGAGCCTGCATTTGAATTTAATTATCTCTTCACATGGTATCAAAAAGGCTCTAATTATCATGCCAATCATGATTATCAAATCCTGAATTTGATGACCTGTTTTTTGACGCGTAAACCAAATCTTATAACGAATCATAAGATGCATTACCAATAAAAATATGACATCTAAGCTATAATATGAACCTCAATAATTTCATATTCAAGTCATGAATCAAAAAACAAAAAAAGTAAGCTATTCAATGTTGATAAGAAAAAGTTATTGGCTATTCTAAGTTTTTAGTAGTAGTTCATTAAAATGAATTGGGATTCAACAATGATGTATCGGAGTTTATCATAATGAATCAGGATTCAAGATGAGATTCATGTTCAAAGTATATACACACTAGATATTTGTGTCAATAACTGTGTTCAGTTTTGTATCTAAGTAACTTATAAAACACGTGCATCGTAAGATACTGATAATGATGCCAACGAACAAGTTCTAAAAGATGTACGCATGATAAGTGAAGACCTCTATGCCGAGCTCTTCTTTTAATCCTAACATCACTTTCAAATCTATATTATTGACAATGATGTACCAGTCATTTGATTTGTGAATACATTGAATGAACAAGAATAAAGACCCAAGATATATCATGGCGTGACAATTGATTTTAGAACAGGATAATAAAGGCTTACTGTCTTGGTGCCTCTAAGCTCAAAGATAAGGGCATCATTCTTGCTTTTGGATGGAAGGTGTAACAACCAACGGTTGTCCATAAAACTCCACCCATTTTCCATATACTTAGCAAGAGAGCGGGTTTCACCTGACTCCATGAGGCCAACAACCTCCTTTCCAAGGTTTTCTATGTCCCTGGAATGTAATCAAATATAGGAAAATCAATCACAAGTTCCTGACAAGTGTCGGTATATTTGCAAATAGATTTAAACTCTGAGGAATTCAAACATGATGACGATCATAATCACTTTGTACAAATTTGTAATCTCAGACTAAAAAGTACAAGGCAACCATATGGAAAAGCATGCTTTAAGAAAATGATGTACCTCATTTGCAGGCTGATGATTCTGGTGCCATTTTCATCTGTGACATGAGTCCAGCTCTTGGCATGTTGAGGCTTAACAGGAAGATTAAAGAAACATGTATTTTTGGACACTGGACGAGATTGAGCCAATTGGAGCGTATATGGGGCAGGAACTGGAGCAGTAAATGAGATGGCTACCCGTAACAGGATTGGCTTTGTGCTCATAGTACCAGAGCTTGGCACCAACTCCCACCATTTCTCAACGGAGAGCTTTGAAACTGGATCAAGATAGTCTTGCATAGAGAATGCAGCAGAACCCAGTGTCTTTGGTGATCTTCTTAATGATAACTTTGATGAAGAATGGTACATGAGTTCAAAAAGAAGCTCTCCAGTAGGTTCACATTGGAAAGATGCAACATTTTTCACTCTAGATTCAGACAAAATACTAAGTCTCCTTTTAGCATCAAAGAAAGCATCAGGCTGTGATTTGGAAAATAAAACAAAGAGACTTCCTTCCAGTCCATCTGGTAAGTTTTTAACATCAACAAACTCCAAGAAAACCTAGAAAAGGATTCAAAAAGAAATTACTTATAGTTATACTCTTGTACATAAACAGAAGCTGTTTTAATTGTAGTTATTCAGTATATATAGAAGGATCAATTTTTGTAGCAGCACATAGACAAGTCCACTAAACTATAGTCCACCAAAGCAGGACGACAAATGTTGAACATTTCTAGCTTGTTGAAAGTGAAATCCTAACCTTGGTTAGATCCTTCTTAAACAAACCTTCCAACAATCCTGCTCCGGACCGGCCAAAGGCCCAAGGAGCAGGACCAATTACAAAGGCCCAATCCAGAGCACCGTCGCAGCAGATAGAGGAACAGGTAGGACTCGTCAAAGAGTCAGGCACCTCATCCCAGCTGCTGGTACGTCGGCCAACGTTAAATCTAATCGAACGGCTTCCCAAATCACCCACCGGGTTAGGCGTAAGCAGTTTTAACCGTTTGCCATATATAAACCCTGCCATGCGCTATGTACAGATATTATCTCAATCTCACTCTCAAATTACATCTCTCTGACTTCACTGACTTAGACATTGGAGTGCTAATATTGCAGGTGGCCCACTCCACTGTACCTGAGGCTCTCACCATTGCAAAGGAAGAGCCCGTTCTCTCAACATCTCCTATTTTCTCGTTCCACATCGGAACAAATCCATTATTCAAACAGCTTATATCTGTGTTATAATGAAAGGTTTTGCAAGTCACTGAACTATTCTAGGAATCTGTAAGGATACATTCCATTGATCCATTTAAATAACTTAGTATGCAAACTTCTTCTGATACGTGGCATACACTAATATTTGCATATTTATGTACATTATCGATA